TAGTTATGACATATATAAAGGGGTATAAAAAGTCGCTCGGTACCGTGAGAAATAAAGGGACAAATACACGCAATTAACTGGTTATAATTAAATAACGCTAATTTTTAACCACGGTATAACCCGAACCACAATATTTGGAATCAAGTGATCGAATACCCCCAATGTTGAACAAAATTGTCAAGTAAGTATTCTTCGGCAGAACATGGAAACCGGTTTGTATATGACCTCGTTTCATGCTTTGTCATGATGAAAAATAGCCTGACCACCACAAATACACCTGCATTATATGAGTAGGTGTTTAAATGAATGATGTAATTCAAAATTATCTCAGTAAAATTGTTCTTATATACAAAGATTCTTTTGTAATTTTCCGCAGGAAGTATAAATGTTTAAAATCTTTTTTCAAGTCATATGCAGTTAACAGGATGGGTGCTGTACTGCCCGAAATTCATTGGTGGATTCATTTATCGACGAACTTTGTGACAAAATGAAATTCATGGTTTTTGATTTGATAATCAAAAAACTAGTTAGTATTATTCAGCACATTTGTCGGACCCGCTATGTCAAAGGTAAGCAATCTTAAGCGATCATCCTACAAACACTCGACCATATCCCAACTCGTTTTTTTTTCGTCAAAGTCAACAAGATATCAGCATATTGCAGAAATGAGAGCATCCCATGGGGATTTAAATGTGTTGTAATAGTATTATATTTCCTTGCACTATACTAAAATTTGGTGACCGTACATTTGAACCCATGTACATTTGAACCCATGCGTATATCCACGGGTTCAATCTATATCGGGTGCTAAAACCCATGGGTTAGGGTTAGTATGGGTTTAACTATCCGTGAAACAAAAAAAATTCCATAGGTGCAATAGCATACAGGTGCAATTGTCATGGGTTCAAATGTACGTGGGTTCAAATGTAATGGAACCTAAATTTAATGCTTTGTATATAAAAGAAAGGAGTCAAATTGAATATTATATTGTTTACGAAAGATTTATTAAATCATTTTTGTTAGATGATAAGATATTTGTTATAAGGATACGGCTAGCAATGAAAACGTTTATCGTTGGAGAAAGGATTGAAGCAATCTGCCAATTATACAATAACCATTAGGCGTTCGACGCTTGTTCAAAGGTAAGCATATACTTCTAAAACGCGACGAATGCAGTTTTAGGGCCCAATGGTGTTGACGAGTGAATAATTTTGTAAATAACTAATAAAACTAGAATTCGGTTGGAAACCAAAGACTTATCAATCGAAGGTTGGGTGATCCCCCAAAACAGTGGTCTTACTCCATAGTGACACCGTGTGTCCCATTACTAATTAATTAATAACTCGCTAATTATACGACATAATCCATCCAAAATCAATAGGCTTCTGATCCGAGCTAAGATGAATGCACATGCATTTGGAGCATATCGAACCTCGCTTTCGTGAGATATCGCGTGCATCTAACACACAGACATACAGCAGACAAATACCTATCAACATACTTACCGATCAAGATCAATAAGTAAAAAGAGATAGAAGAAGATGGATCTAAAAAGGGCATTGGCAGCGACGAATCGCACGATATAGATGTGGATTTTCTAATTCAATCATATTTTTCACTACAATTTACCTCTTACATTGTGAAGGAGAAATCACAGTCCTTGTTAATGAGGAAACAAAATATAAAATGAGAATATCGGTCAGAGACCGAAGACTTATCGATCGAAAGTTAGGGGATTCCCAAAACAGCGCGCTTACTCCATAGTGACACCTTGTGTCCCATCACTAATTAACTCGCT